AATTTTTATGAATTTAGTTGATTAAACATGCATTTTGATGATTCTGATTTAATGAAACTCTTACACTGGTATACAGAATAAATAAAACATAACACACAAAATTTGGGAAAAATATAACTGATTTCATAGGGCCCTAGAATTCTTATTAAAATAATTTTTTGTATAGGCTCATCCTGACCAGCCCAACATAGTTTACCAATGGTGTGAGTTTGAGGCGGGACTGTTCAGTTCACCCAGTGGCAGATGAGGTCAAACTCAAATGATCCTGCTTGCTGTGGGAATTTCATTTGAGAGAGCCTCATTCTCACTTCGCTATTTATCCTTTTCACCCTTCCTCTTGTCATACTTTGTCCTCTAGCTGCATTTAAGAAGACCCATTTTTATTCTTGATGATGAGAGATTCTATTCTCTTATATGGGGCACAATCTGATTCAGAGTTTCTCTAGATGTTTGATCACCTCCAACCACTGGAAAACATCCATTGTCATGCCTGGCTGGAGAGGAAGGACGGTTGGAGAATTAGCGTTGACATGAATGGGCCATCATAGGCTGTTCAGAGACTGTAGGAAACATTAATTTCATTTTCAGGCTCACTTTCATGACCACTGGAAAACATCCATTGTCATGCCTGGCTGGAGAGGAAGGACGGTTGGAGAATTAGCATTGACATGAATGGGCCATCATAGGCTGTTCAGAGACTGTAGGAAACATTAATCTCATTTTCAGGCTCACTTTCATGAAGCCCAGATAGACTGGGGGGGACATTCAGTCAAAGTCAATGAATGCCTTGTTTTAAAGTCATTCCCTCTACAAAGTATAAAGGGAAATGGGCATTAATACCACCAATTGAATACAGCCAGGAAACCTTTTGTCCTTGTACTGCATTGACATAATACAGCGATGGCCTTCTGGTCTCATGTGTCCTGTTGTTGGAAACTTGTTTGCCTACCAGGATTCTTAATACCAGGATGTTAGAATGCCAGTTGCCATGTGGATGAGCCAGTAATGACTAATGTTCTCATAAGCTTCAGCTGTTCCTATGGCGATGGGGTCCCTGTGGGTCCCTGGCTAATCTGCGGTATACAACGTGAGCCTCCATGCGTGTTGCATTCTTTTGATAATGCCTGGAAACATTTGGTCAAAGAGTGTGTGATTGTCAGTGCACATGCCAGAATCTGACCACCAAGTTTAATGGACAAGTCAACAAGACAAATGTAATTAAAGGGGAAGTTTACCTGAAAAATGAAAATACTGTCATCGTTTACTGGCCGATATATCAGTACTTTAATCTTGGAAACCCCCTATTATTGGAAAGCTACATTTACAGAATAATTTATGGTCAATTGTTAATAATCAGTGTTGGGCAGTAACGCATCACTTATGCCGAGTTCACGCTGCACGATTTTCAAACTCGTCGGATCGCCGTTGTTTTCACACTGCGTGACTATCTGGGGTAGCATTCAGTTGCTGCTGTGTTCACATTGCACGATGGATCGGCGGCAGGGGGTTTCACACTGCATGACTTCACAATAGGAAGAATCGCCGACAGCTCTGTCTGGTCCGCAAACTACGTTTCACAACAAAACACACGCGAGAAGTGATAAGGAAATACTGAATTTATTTAATACACGAGTTTCACAATTTGAGTTGAATTACTGAAATAAATGAACTTTTCCACCACATTCTAATTTATTGAGATGCACCTGTAAACGATTAACAGGTGCAAGCGTATGCATAGTTTCTATTTAGGCTATAACACCTGTTTGCAGCGAACAGTGTTCTGTGAATGTTGATGCTTTAATAACAAATATTTATTGGGAGTGTGTATGCTGGGATTTCATGAATTTCATGGAGGAAAAAATTAACGCAACTAGTAATGTAACTAATTACTAATTACTTTTGAAATAAAGTAATCAGAACAGTAACGTGATTACTTTTAAAAGGAGTAATCAGTAATCAGTAATTTAATTACATTTTCAGAGTAACTTGCCCAACACTGTTAATAATACAGAGACCTGCACATGACAGGAACAAGATATTGTGGCCGTAAATTAAGAATTTGTTCCCAAAACTTAATATTTTTTCCATAATTTTAAATAAATTGTAGTTCTGAAATAAAACAAGGGAACACATTAATAAAATGAAAACACAAATAAATAAATCATGGGAATGTATTCTTAATTCGTGGCCACTATATCTATGTCATTTGTGGGGCATCATAAAATAAGGTGTTCCAGGAGCTAGAAATATTTGATATTTTGTGACGTTACATCCACACCACTAGGTGGCAGTGTGAGTCCAAGATACTGCAATATTGACCAGTGCAATGTAAACATTACCTATAAAGTGTAACTTTAAAGCACGTTCACACCAGGAATGATACTAAAAAGATAACTAATAATACCTGTAACATTTGTATGCCGCTTTAATTGCTAAAGCTCTTTAAAGTCAGGTGGATTCTGATTGGCTATCAATCTTTTTATCGTTCATTAGCTGGAAAAAAAAGTCATTCTGAAAGTGATTCCAACTATGTTTCTCCGTTTTTTTTCTTCTTTTTTTTTCTCACTATAGCTGTGGTCTGAACTTCCCCATTTTTAGAGTTAGAGTAATTAATAAAACTTTATAGTTATAGTTTTGGTCCTTGTTGAGTTTATTAGTTTACACTAGTAAGCACTAGTTTGTGCTTATTTTGCAATAAGCTATCAAAATCTGTCTCTGTCCTAAGGACTCCCAGGAGTTCCTGCGTTGTCTGATGGACCAACTCCACGAGGAGCTCAAGGAGCCCATTCCTGACCCCGAGGACCCAAACCAGGCTGTGGCCATGGATGACAGTCCCGATGAGGACAACCACAGCCAATCAGATGACTTCCAGTCCTGCGAGTCTTGCGGCAGCAGCGATCGTGCTGATAGAGAAGGCCCCAGAGTCCCAGAAGACATCAATGAAGCTGAGATGCTGATTTCAGAGCAGAACCAAAACAACCGAGACTGGCAGAAAGAGAAGAATCTCATCAACAACCTGTACCGTGCCGGTTCCCATGGCGACCTGGATAAAGACGTGGACACGACCAATGAGTCGAGGCCAATAATCAGCAGCCAAGGAGCCATTAAATGCCAGGGCCGAAATTCTGGTAAATGCAAGGCTGTTACTTCTATGCAGTTTTTTACACCAACATGTAAACGAACAGCCTTACAGGCTCCAATAAACTCATGTTGAAGTTTTTTTTTTTCCTTTGTAAAAAGTATACCGTGTGGACTGAATATTCTGAAATCATTTGATCTCATGGGTATTAGGGGTGCTCCGATTGATAAGCTACCAAACTATCACTACTACTATCGGCCGATAATCGCTTTGGGATGTTTGATCAGCGGTCTCTATAAAGGCTGATCTCATAAACCGATCTCAAGCTGATGACGCGCCTGCTGTAAGAGGTTTGGCATGACATGCAGCGGCACCGTCTCAGTCTATGTCCGGCGCGGCTGAAATAATTATAATGCTGAAGGTGAGGTACAATTCATATTTCTTCATTAAATAACTTATAAAGTAATTTGAAAACTCTCTGAGACATAAATTCACAAACAGCGTGAGTGAATCACCGCACACTCTCTCTTTCTCTCTCAAAATGTGCAAATGGCTTCAAATAACATCGCGTCTGCACTATAAGTGAGCTGCACAGTTGACACAGGAATTGTCACTTGCACAATCGAGGCAGTGTTGCATCGTCACTAAAGTACAAATTGCATTTTTTTTTAATTCTTGCCAGTGTTTAACCATTCAGCAATCGCGTGCTCTCCTGGAGACTGTGCTCATGCACACTCGGAAGTGCACACACATAACGCCAGGTTCACACATACTTCGTTTGCAGCGCGTACACGGTGCGTATTTTTCTGCGCTCATGTTAACGGATTAAAGCGTTCACACTGCACACGGTTGTGGTCCGGCAGTGTGTTCTATGAGTGGTGTGTCTGCAGCAGTGCAGAGATTGTTTCCACACCGAGTTTCCTGTGGTGCACGTGCTGAAGTAAAGTGACAGCGCATTGTTTACGGTAAATAAGAACATGGATTGACACGAAAATTTAGTAATTACACCATACATGCGTATAATTAAAGTCAGCTGTGTTTCACAGTCAACACATATGGCTTTTTAAAGAGCGCTTTTAGATAAACAAGGCAATAATAGATGGCACTCGTGGAGGTTGGAAAACAAAGTTCTGAATGAACCGCAGGATTGCTTGTAATAAAGATTTAAATGCAAAAGAAAAGGCAGTAGAGCTGACTGTTTCTGTCAATGGTAAGTTTTAATTTAGATTGTCTGTGATATAACATAAGAAAAGTAGTTTAAATGTTTTGCCACTTGCTTGAGCAACTTAATATGTAAATGTAGAAGTAAATGCAAAAGTAAAAAGCATTGAATGTGTTGCTTATATTTATTGCGTTTAAACACAATGGGCTAGTCTGTGAAAGATTGTATTACTGTACTGTGTAAAAAAAAAAAAGAATCACAATGCTGAAAAAGCATTTTCAGTAACAATGTTTGGATTTCAAATCAAAATAATGGATAAATGTTGTGTTTGGTGTAAACAGCCACGGATCAGTTGCAGACACTGTGCACAGTGAGCACCTGCTGCTTCTGCACCACTTACGTACCGTACCACACATGGACTTCATACGCACTGCAAACGGAGTATGTGTGAACCTCACATACAGCTCACGAAATCAGGCTTGAGCTGTGTATAAGCTATTGCGCAACAATTGCACGATTGTAAAAAGAAAAATTGCATGATCAAAAATTTAGGTGAGATAAATTAAATCAAATTAAAAGTTTCCCCTCACAAGAGTCACGTAAGAGGGCAATTCCTCCCATTTTCAAAAATGAAATTCAGGCCCTGAATAAATGTCTAAAAATCCTGATTGGAGTATCACTATAAATAATTCTACATTATAAAAAGAAGGCTTAAAAAGATCAGTATCGGTGATCGTATCGGCAGATGCTGTTTTCGGTGATCGGCCTCAAAAATCCTGATCGAAGCACCCCTAATGGATATGGTTATGTTTGCATCAGCTCTGTAATTCTGCATTCCAATGTTTTCGTGTTTTTACCCATTTGCAATTGCAAGCTTTTTCAAACCACTGAAATGAACTACAAAATACCTTCATTTTGGCCAGATTTTTGAAGTAGTTGAAATACATTGTGGCCAGTGGTCATTTTGCTTGCTTTTATTGACTGACTTGCTTGTTTCCACCTTGTTCAGACTCAAACTCTGAAATCCAGGTCAGCAGTACCATCAGACCACACAGTCCCAATGGAAATGAGGGTGTCACATCTAGACTGTCCAGCAGTCCCCCCAAATCCTCAATGTGGCCAAACCTGAGCTCTACTCACAAGAAAGGTACCAGAATTTGAGTAGGAAGCACTGCGGGACAGTTTAGGAGTTAGTTTAATTAAATGTATTCATTAGTGATGCACTGAAATGAAAATTTTGGACCGAAACCAAAATTTAAGGATGTACTTTGCTGAAAACCAAAACCAAAAAATAAATGTTATTTAGTGGTCTTTCAACTCCTGATGTTCATTCAGGTTTATTTCATGGTGTAACTACTAATGAGAAAGAGATTCATGTGCTGCTTGAATTGAGGCTACAGTGATCTGTCATGCCATGTTAAAGAGCATCAGAACCACATTTATTGTTTGTATTTTGTGATTAAATTGAGATAATTTGAAAGCTGAGACTTTGTTTCATATTAAAGTTAACAAAACACAAAGCTCATTGTGATTCTTGGATGGCAGCTGTACCTCCAATAATGTTTAGTGAAGTTCGTGCATCAACGGAAAACAGCATAGACTAAAAGATTGATCTTTAGATTTAAGAATCCATAGCAGTATTGATTAAAAGCGAGAAATCTATAGTGTTAATCCAGTTCTAGCATCCACACAGCTGACATGTTTACCTGTTGTAGTATCCAATTTATGTACACAAAATAAACTCTGACAGTCAAAACGTGGCATCCGAGAAACAGTTATTTAAACGTTACTGTTTCGGTCAACTATTATTGGTTGCCAAACTTTTGCTGCATCACTAGTATTAATAGGGGTCATGACACAGATATATATATATTTTTTTCATTATTTTAATATGTTCCTTGAGGTTTACTTATAATGTTAATAAAGTTGATATCTATACAAGGACGCGAATGAGCTGTTTAAACCAAACAAAAGCGAATGTTCTTTCACTCCATTTGTCCTGACGACAGAGGACAGACTCAAGTGCGGGGACTGTGTCAGAAAGTGAACATGCATCTGTATACTGTATCCAGTGTAGACAAGATAGCTGCAGTGATTGTAATTTCTGTATGCTTTTGACGCAACGTGTCGCATTCATCATGATCCAAGTGTCAGCCGTTGGCAGCTGAATGCCAGTGGGCGGGGCTTATGTCGCTGTGTTGCTCTGAAGGTGGTGTTTATGCAAACGACTGTGCCTATCTGATGTCACCTTTTGTCCCTATGAATCCAAAATGAGCTGTTTTCTGAAGGTTATTAGGGTTTCTGAGGTTTATGGTTTTTTTATTAATGATGAGGACATTTTAAGTTATGAAACTTGCAGGATGTATTAAGCATACAAAGACCTCTTCTGTATCAAAAGATCAAGGGAAATATGGTTTCTCATGTCATGACCCCTTAATGTAATAGTTGTGAGCATCACCTGAACTGTAACAGATTTGACATTGATTCTAAATGGTTGTGATGTGTAATGTTGACAGTACCCTCGTTCATCCCACCAAAGAGCAAGCGGCAGAGGAAATATCGCAGCATCATCTCTGAAGTGTTCGACGGCACCATTGTCAGCTCAGTTCAGTGCCTGACCTGTGACAGGGTGAGTAATCAGTGTGTTTTTCAACCTACAATGCCCCCAAATAACCTCACTTTAAATAAACAAAGAGAAAACAAGCATTTGATTCTTCAGTTGGCAGAGAAAGGTACTTAATTTTAAAGGGGTCATATGATGTTGTTAAAAGAACATTTATTTTGTGTATTTTACTCTACACTACTCAAAACTCGCGTTTGAATCGTCAGTGGCAAACTCTTTAATATAAAAAACGTCTGTGTTACAGTCTGTGAGTCAGAACAGCCGACATTGTAGTCTACTCTACCAGGATCAGGAAACAGTCCTCTATAAAATGTGCTGCACACATCTGAATATTTGGGTTGAATTGTTCTGGAACAGTGTTGTAAATGCAACTTAACCACTGATTTCTAGTCGCGTCCTCTTTTGGAAGGCCAAACAAAGTAGTTTAGCTTTCACAACGAAACACACAGCGTCACACACGGCGGGCTAGAGTGAGGAACGGCCGGCAGATTCGACGAAGGAGCGGCTGGCGGGCTAGAGTGAGGAATGGCCAGCGGGCTAGAGAACGGCACGGCCGGCGGATTCGACGAAGGAGCGGCCGGCGGGCTTTCGGCAACCACATGTGACGACCCCGTGCTGTACTCCGCTTCATCCACAGTGAAAGCTGATCCGGCGATCCACAGCGCGAAGTTAATGTATTTTCTCAGCGCCCAGCACGGATCAGCTCTAGGCATGACGAAGCGGATATCGCTTTCACAACAAAACACACAGCGTCTTCATGACATGGCGGCAGCAACAATACTACAGTGAGAATAAAAGTTATGCCTTCTTTCTTTGCGTGAACATTTGAGCGGCATTATGCAAATCTTCCCACATTGTGACGTAGACATGTGGGGGCGTGTTAGAACGAGGTGTTTTAGTGGGGCGTGGACCAGTCTTAACTTTTATAAAGAATATCTCTTTGGGTTTGAGACTTTAGTCTTTGCAACTTTAGGGATCTTATCTATTCACGAACAGCTTGTAACACTCCAAAGAGAAAGGACAATTTGAAATTGCATCATATGACCCCTTTAAAATGATTTCTGAAGGATCATGTGACACTGAAAACTGGACACTGAATGCTGAAGATTAATTACAGGAATAAATTATGCTTTAAAATGTATAAAAATAGAAAGCAGTTTTTAAATTGTACAAATATTTCACAATATTACTGTTTTTACTGTGTTTTAGATCAAATGGGTAAATGCAGTCTTGGTGAGCATAAGAGACTTTTTAAAAAACCTTTAAAAACACTTATAGAGTTGAACACAAGTGTATCTTATATATTTTATATAATGTTTAATGATCATGTGCAAAATGATTTGATAATCGTGTGAAAAAATAATCACATTTTTAGTATTCACTTCATTGTCATTGTCCACTTATGTAGTTCATTCACGAACATAAGTCATTTTGTTATAAATATCAACATTGTTTGCATATGAAAAATTGGTTACACTTTATTTTAAGGTGTCCTAGTTACAGTGTAATTATACATTTAAATTCTGAGTAATACATGTACTCACTATATGATTAGGGTTTGGCTTAAGGTTGCTTGCATGTAATTATGCATAATAAATTGTTATTATAATAGTAAGTATATGTAACGTGTAACAAGGACACCTTAAAATAAAGTATTACCGAAAAATTATCAGCTATAATAGAAGAAAATGGACATTTGAGCTATTTTGCAGTTGTTTTAATGGCTTTGTTATTGTTTCTGACAGTAGTTGCAGTTACAGATTAGCATTTTAAATTATGCTCCTCTGTTACTTGTCCTTCCTTTCTCAGGTTTCGTTCCTCCCACCAGACGGCTCTAGTCAAGGCTGGTTCGTGTGGAGAAGCCTACGCCCCTCAAGGCTGGGTTGCTTTCGTCATGGAATATATCAAGAGGTGTTATGCTGACATTTCTTTTTTGTGAGACTGTACCCTTGTGAAAAAGTACACTGAAGCATACTTTTAAAAAGAGTTCTTATTATGGAAATAATAAGTGAAGTAAATGAAAATGTATTATAGTTTACATTAAGATTAAATGCAGTTAGTTGAATTTAAGAATGTGTTTTTGACCCACTTCAGTAGGATTTGAGTACTTCTTTCGATGTAATTTCATAATTTATTCTATTACACTTGAAATACGGTTAATCTATATTGAATGTATTGATAAGCATCTATGGTCAACTAAACTATATTTAAATCAATTCTATTTGAACTTGTATGTTAATTTATTTGTAAGTACATATTTTTAATATTTAAAATATTATATACATTATATTAACTTTCATTATAATGTTAAACAACACACTACAATTAAAATTATAAGCAAATACTTTACATGTGCTTTAGTATGTTAGTATGTATTGCTTTAAAGCATGACAAGGTTAATAAAATGTACTTAAGTAAAACGTTTAATTTATAGTAATTTGGGTTACACTTTATTTTGTTACAGTGTAATACATTTAAGTACTGAGTAATATTAATTAACTACATATACTTACTATATGTTTAGGGTTTGGCTTAGGGTTACTTGCATGTAATTATACATAATTAATTGTTATTATTATAGTAAGTACATGTAATATGTGTAACAAGGACACCTTAAAATAAAGTGTTACCGTAATTTGACATTACTAAAAAGTGCATTATGAAAGTGTACTTAAGTCTGTTAAGAACCAGTCATAAAAATTGTACTCTTAAGAGGGTATTTATTTTATTATTAATTAATTTATATTATATTACTGCAGTTACAGTTTTTTTTTATGGATACTTTTAGGATTTGAAGTGCACTACAAATGCACATTCAATACAATTAGGTGCATAAGGGTATATTAAGTGCTGCCCTGAGTCATTATGTCCATAAAATATAAAGTCAATTGCAAGTATTTAAGCATGTATATAACATTGTATCCCAAGAAAACCGACTTAACATGTTTCTTTTGAATGATTGACCCTCACTGTTTATTTCTGCTCATTGATTTTTAGTTGGTTCTGGGGGCCTGTGGTCACGCTGCAGGACTGTCTGGCTGCCTTTTTTGCAAGGGATGAACTAAAAGGTTTGACTTTTTTTTTTCTTCCCCTCTCTCAAAGCTGAAATTTTGCTTTAAACCCAAATTAATCAATAGGACCTATTGAATAGGTGATTGTGCTGTTTAGAGTCTCAGATCTAGAAAAAGATGATGAATATGGATATCTTCATGACATTTGGTGTTAATATTTACCATATCAGTGGTGTAATTCTTACTGGTTGTTGTTGTTTTTTTCAGGAGACAACATGTACAGCTGTGAAAAATGCAAGAAGTGAGTATGAACTTGTTGGAGAACTTATTGAAGATGATGGATGCAGAAATGAAAGTGTTAATGTTGATTCTTTGGTTGTTTCAGGTTACGGAATGGGGTCAAATTCTGCAAAGTTCAGAGTTTGCCAGAGGTAGGTACACAGATGACCTATTGTGGTTATTATACAGGGTTAGGCACCACATTATTATTTGTTTGTCAGTGTTTGAAAAGACATCAGATTTACATAGGAAGTACACAAAATAATAAAAACACCACAAATAAAGTCCACAATGTCTTGGCCTTGTACCTAGTCTGTCTGAAAGGAACACAAAACCTGGGCCTTTGAGCAATAATAGTAATATAATGGGTAATAAAGTCTGGTGAGTCATCTGTTTCCTACATCCAGTGGATTTATGTTTGGAGAGAGACTAAGAATGCCTTCAAAATATAATATTGGCTGCCATCTGGTAAATATGCTCAGGGACCTGTAATGGCAAGAGCAGCCATCTTATGGGAGTCGTTAGATCTGCTGATTCTTCAGTACGTCTGTAGAATGGCCAAAGTATTTTACTGGGCCACCATGATAAAAAACCTCAACTGGTAGTACCACTCAGTCATGCTGTACAAATTGCCCAAGTAGTTATATTTTTATATGAACAGACGTGGCAGGTTTTTCTTGTTGGAAATTGTCAGCAAAATGTGATTTTCTGCTTTGTTGAAATCCTGTCTCCCCAACAGATTCTGTGCATTCATCTCAAGCGCTTCAGACATGAACTTATGTTCTCCACCAAAATCAGCACTCATGTGTCCTTCCCTTTGGAAGGCCTCGAAATGCAGCCCTTCCTGGCCAAGGACTGCTCCGCCCAGACCACCACCTATGACCTGCTGTCAGTCATCTGTCACCACGGCACTGCCAGCAGTAAGTCTTTTAGGCCAGGGAGATGGTCATAAATGTTTTCTTCTTATAAATTCATGTATCATTTACAGCAGTTGCACTAAGTAATATAAATTAGTATTGTTTATATATTTTTTGAAAAAAATAAAATAAAATTTAGAAATAAATGTAATAAATTATTGTGATTTATTTTACATTACTATAAGAGATGTGTACGTGGTTTCAGGTAGTGAAAGTTGAATACACAAAATAATGATCTTTAAAAAACCATCATATGACCCCTTTAATTCAATAATAGGGGAGTGGGAACATGAAATGATCAATTCTGATTCGAACACACATTGCATACATGAGCACCACAGCTCAGTGTGTGAGATATTTTTAATGCGATTTTTGCTTTAAGGTGGCCACTATATTGCCTATTGTCGGAACGAACTGAACCAGCTGTGGTACGAGTTTGATGACCAGAGCGTTACTGAGGTGTCTGAGTCCTGTGTTCAAAACGCTGAGGCATATGTGCTCTTTTACAAGTAAGACCATTTACAAACCAAGATTTATTTATTGCTCCTAACCCTAATTCTACTAACATCCCTCATATAACCTTTCAAACATAATCTATAAAATTATATTATAACATGAATATATATTATATAATAAATAACAGTAAATTTTGGTAATATCTCAATTGCGTTTGTATGTATATATGCATGTGTGTGTATCCTCTTTTAAAAAAAAAGATGTTGTCCTAACCCTCTTATATTCAAAATGTTTTGGTCTTGATTTTATTTTCTTTGAAATTAAATTATAAATAAATAAATTGATTGATTTAAATAAATAGATACAATTTTGAATTAAAATAAGTAAATTAATGATTAATAAAATAAATACATCTAACAATACAGTACTATACTGAGTAGAAAAGGAATGTAATAATGTAACTTGATAGAAACTAAATATTTTGTTGCATTTATAATTTTATAGTATAATTACTCTCTTGGCGGGTCTTCCAGCCACTTCTATCAAACCTCTACAATTAATCCAAAATGCCGCTGCAAGATTAATCTTTAATGAACTGAAAAGAACGCATGTCACACCTCTGTTCATCAATTTGCACTGGCTACCAGTAGCTGCTCGCATTAAATTCAAGGCATTAATGGTTGCCTACAAAACCACCACTGGCTCTGCACCCATTTACCTAAATTCATTGCTTCAGAGTTATGTGCCCTCTAGAAGCTTGCGTTCTGCAAGTGAACGGCGTATTATTGTGCCATCTCAAAGAGGCACAAAATCACTTTCACTGACTTTTTCATTAACTGTTCCCTCCTGGTGGAATGACCTGCCCAACTCAATCCGAGCAACTGAGTCCTTAACCATCGTCAAGAAACGACTAAAAACACTTCTGTTCCCCCTTTATTTGACCCTCTAACTCTAGCACTTTCTATTATATTTTAATTCTACTTTATCTATATTTATCTTTTATTTTTTTTTTTATTTAAAAAAACAAAAAACAAACAAACACTAGCTTTCTATTTTTTATATTCTATCTACTTGTTTTTCTTTGTATGTATGTGTGTATATATGTGTGTGTGCGTGTATAATATATATATATATGTATATGTGTGTGTGTGTGTATATGTATATATGTGTGTGTGCGTGTGTGTGTATATGTATATATGTGTGTGTATATGTATGTATGTGTATGTGTGTGTGTGTATATATATTTTATTGTCCTCATTTGTAAGTCGCTTTGGATAAAAGCGTCTGCTAAATGACTAAATAAATGTAAAAAAAAATTGGGTCTTTACGCTAGAAACTACACAGATGGCTTCTGAATTTTAGGATGGGGTCCCTCGCATGATGATCTTCAAATTTGGGGAAGCGTGGCATCTAAAAGATTAAAAATCCCTGGCCTATGCAACCCGTTAAAATGGAATGGAATAAGGCCTTGCAAAGTGGCTAATGGCTTAATAATCCTAATTTAAAATGTTATTGTTTTTTTTTTTTTAGTTATTTTTGCATTATTTATTAAATAGAGTTTTAAATCTATTAAATAATATGACTTCTCATAATTATGTTTGCCTATTGATTCTTTTTCTAGTCTTTCCTGGTATAGTCATGAACAAACAATGATCTAAGATGCAGCTGTTTTTTAGGTAGAAAAGCTCAAGGTTATGTTGAGCAGGACAAACGGCCTTGAGTCTGACTGTAAATCTCAGTGCTGTGGTGAAACGTTTGTGTTGACAGTTTGAATGGTGCTGATGTCACTTGTGTGTGTGTGTAACAGGAAAAATAACGATGAGACTAAGAAGGAGAGGCGGAAGGTGACCAGTCTGCTCAACATGATGGAGCCAAGCCTCCTGCAGTTCTACATCTCCCGCCAGTGGCTGAACAAGTTCAAAACCTTCGCTGAGCCAGGACCCATCTCCAACCATGACTTCCTGTGTGCCCACGGAGGTGAGGACCACTCTTATGAAGATCTAGGATCAAGTATTTTATACACCACAGATATGACTCCACACCAGATATAATTGCAGATTCTACCAGCATTACAAAAGTCAAGTGCTGCCACATCCTTTTCACTGATTATGTTTGTTTTTACTCTCTTCCTCTCCTTTTCACTTAAAAAGTGCAGTATGAGGTCAGCGAATAAATGCGAATCTCTTCAGAAAGCATTTTTGTCCCCTTGATCTGATTTGTTTGAATTGAGTCAAATGAATTTGAAGGAAAAGATCTGACAGAGGAACAAAGATATAAGAAGTTCCCTATGAATTATTTATAAATCTTCTTGCATGCTGTTTCATGTTGACTTTCAGGGGACAGATGCCCATTTTTTTGTCATAAGACTAGGAAAACTAATTATCTGTTGGTTAAAACCTCTTGTTTTTCTTCTTCTCCAACAGGAATTCCACCAAATAAAGCCTCGTCTGTTGACGATCTTGTTATGATGCTTCCCCAAAATGTATGGGACCATCTGTATAGCAGGTAAAAATTGTTAACTGCTCTTTTCATAACTTCCAGTGGAACTTCAGTTTCTTATGAAATGCTAATTGGTGACTCGTTGTCTAATAGGTATGGAGGCGGCCCCGCTGTCAATCACTTGTATGTCTGCCACACCTGCCAGAACGAGATCGAGAAGCTGGAAAAACGTCGCAAGAATGAGCTGGACATGTTTGTTCGGGTAGGAGCCGCAGTGACATCCTAGATTAAGAGGACATGTAGAGTGAAAAATGTCTGTTCTTTTTGGGTTGGTCTAACGCCTGCACTGTTATCTGGCCTATTAATGCGTGCACAGACCTCACACCCCCCACCACCAACACCCTCTTAGACTGAGAACAGAAGTGTGACCCCTGCCCCTCCCCCCAAAATTGTGCTCATTATTAATGCATGAGAACAAAAGTGCTTGATTTCAGCCAGAGATGCTTTGCTTAGTTTAAGTTAAGGCCAAATGACTGATAATATAGACTTTCATGTAGTTATGTGCCTATATTAAAATTCTCTCCGATACCAGCTGATAACCAGACATTTAGGGCTGCAAGTAATGATTAATGTCGGTGTTGATTAATTTGTGCAGAGCAGAACCAGAAATGTTTCTAGTAAACCCACCACTCACACTACTTGTACTATAAAATGACTACATTTACATTGTGTTAGACAGTATAAAAGACTCAAGGTGCAGGTGCAACGATGAAAGGTCTCTGACTAGTGCATGTTCACGTAGAAAAATTATAGAAAAGCAGTGCAGTACAATGCGTTCTGTGTTCTCTGTGCCTTATAGGAAGCAGTATCTTATGTAAGCCATAGACGGCAATGTAGTTCACTAGGATTTGGAACAGAGCTTCTGTCTCAGTTTATGGTGTTATTGTTTGGCTGCAGTGAGTAGGATGATATTTTATAAAGAAACACTCAGGAAATGGTATCTATCTCTTCATGTTTTTTTTCTCTTTCCCCATCTTTTCTGTCCTTCATGTAGCTCAATAAGGCGTTTCAGGAGGAGGAGTCTCCTGTGGTGATATACTGTATCAGCATGCAGTGGTTCCGGGAATGGGAAGGCTTTGTCAAAGGCAAGGACATAGGTAAGTCATTTCTCATCCCTGCTGCTGATACTTCTGAAAGTTTGAAATTGAATATTAGCATTATGTTTTGCAGTTATTGATGACTAAGGAGTTCTTGAAGAATTTCATTATAGATTTTGTTTGCTTTTCTCTTTTGTTTGGGGTATTTGGTGTGTTTCTGATGATGGTCTTGTATCTTTCAGACCCACCAGGACCAATTGATAACTCCAAGATTGCTGTAAATAAAAATGGACACATCACATTAAAACCAGGTAATGTTTAGGATCAGGATTTTTTTTATTTTTTTTTTACATTTGTCATTTCTTTTAAAGTCACCGTAAAATTCGTAACCCTTTTTGCTAAACTGAATAACCAATTCTGTCATCATGTCGTACTAAACCTCTATGGTTTTCTTTCTTCTATGAAACATACAATAGTGTTTAATGTTGTTTGAACCTGAAAGTTCCTCAAAATATTGTTAAAGTTGAATAACATTAGGTTAAGTCATTTTTGAGTGAACTGTCCTTTTAGTAAAGTAAATCAGGTCAATATTAGCTTTAAGTTTCAAATATAGCTGCACAGTAATGGTTAAAATGATTGATTATTTTGCTCAAAAATTATCATTGTAATTATTAATCACAGTTGTTTTATTTGAGAAACTTCTTTTTAGATTTAATCAGATTAATTGCACTTTCACATAAACACAAATCTTGAGTTTATGCTTTAACATACTCTGTAACAAAACCTTGAAAAGCTTCTCAAAAACTAAAACCATACAATTCCTATTATTGATTAAAATAATTCCAAATCCTGTTAAAAGGATTGTTCACCTAAAAATGAAAATTGTCATAATTTACTCACCCTCAAGTTGTTCCAAACCACGATCAAGGCTCAGAAACGTAGCTAGGACATTGTTAAAATATGTGACATCAGCGGTTCAACCGTAAGTTTTCAAAGCAACGAGAATACTTTTGTGCGCAAAGAAAACAAAAATAACGACTTTATTCAACAATTCGTCTCCTCCGCGTCACCCTGTAGTGCCATTTTGGAGAATATCCACTGAACGTAAACAACGTATGCTGTTCTGTGTCAGCCGCACCACGCGGATACATTGTTTATGTTGTTTACACTTTGATCAGAACATAAACAACGTATCCGCATGGTGATGCTGACACTGAACAGCATACGTTGTTTACGTTCAGATCAAAGCACGCGCATACGTCGTGATACTTTCCAAAATGGCGCCAGGGTGATGCGGAGGAGACGAATTTTTGAATAAAGTCGTTATTTTTGTTTTATTTGCGCACAAAACGTATTCTCGTAGCTTCGAAAAATTACGGTTGAACCCCTGATGTCACATGGATTGTTTTAACGATGTCCTTACTACGTTTCTGGACCTTGATCGTGGTAATTACATTGCTGTCTATGGGGAGGGTCAGAGAGCTCTCGGATTGCATAAAAAATATCTTAATTTGTGTTCCGAAGATGAACGAAGGTCTTACAGGTTTGGATCGACATGAGGATGAGTAATGAATGACAGAATTTTCATTTTTGGGTGACTTCCATAGTATTTTTTTCCATACTATGGAAGTCAATGGGTATACATTCTTCAAAATCCAAGTTCTGATTGGGGTTTTAAGCTCTTGATATCTAAATGCTTGTGGAGACAAAATAAAAATAAAAAAACACACTTTGACTTCGTGTTTTTTTTTTTTCGCCATACTATGGAAGTCAATGGCTACACACTCTTTAAAATCCAAGTGTGATTGGGATTTTAAGCTCTTGATATCTAAATGCTTGTGGAGACAAGGAAATAACAAAGAATTAACCAGCGTGCCAATATCGCAGTTGATTATGCTTAATTAATCGATAGAAGCAGAAATCGTGATCACGATTAAAATCAGATTAATTATTCAGCCCTGCAATTCAGTAGTGTACCTGCTTGTTTCAAGTACCTATCATTAACACGTTTGCTCAAAAAACATGCGTTTTGCTTCTTTTCTGCTTTAACAGGTGCCGATTCAGGTCAGATATCTGAAGAGACCTGGAACTTCCTCCATTCCATTCACGGAGGAGGGCCGGTGGTGACCGTGCGGCCCAGTGTCAGCCATCAGGAGGCCGAAACTTCCCAGGCAGAGGAGAAGATCGAAGTGGAGACGCGCTCAGTGTAGTTGTGCTGCGATGCTGCTGGAACGCAAGGGGACCGAGAAACACTTATTATTTTGCACTTCACTCTTGTTTTCAAACATTCGAGCAAAGGACCTTACAGCTTCACCTCAGCATACACACTTCTGCCACACTCTCCATACCCTTTATGACTGTTCTTTATAGCAGATGGATGGATTAAACGTCCTCCAGTGTGCTTTATATTTGTATATATCGTGCATATCCATTTCCTCTTGACACTAGAAGCCAATTAGACTTAAGGCACAGTTTCACGGTCCATTAATGCATTTGATTTCTATGTGCAGCTGCGTTCATGACAGATTTTGCTTCGCCCAAACCAAATGGCCCATGATTTGTGTACACCGAAAATGAATTCCACTGCATCTGTAGATATTTTTGAGGCACTGCCTCGATTAAGAACACAAAATAATATGTTGTCTTAGTGGATGAAAACTTCATGTTTTGGGTATGAAGGGATACTAAATGCTACGTAGTCTCAGGAAAGAACATTTTTGTTTTGCACTGTACTGTAGATTCAAAAGCGTGCATGCTTCAGCTCTGATGTTCGATATGTATTTGAATGTACTAGTACTTAAAGAACACATGCACTAATGTTATTTATTCCAGAGGGGTATGATTATTCTGGCATTCATGGACGTTTCCTTTGTTCGAAAATGATTCGACGAGCTAAATCGAAGCAGAATGCACCGCTAATAAGAATGATGTGGCACATTATGCTGGCAAGAAAATCAATTCCTCATTTTTATTTGTGTTGCATAGCTGTGCCACTGAGTTGCATGGAGATGCAAACAATAAGGTGCACATTTGAACACATCGTTGGCTGTCTTGTTTAAAAATGCTATGTGAAAGAAAAAAATCCGATCAATTAAATCCTGCTGCCTCACATGTGTACATTCAAGGCATTATTTAATGTATAGAAGGATGTGATGTCGTTTTTCAATATTAATTGTCCAGAGACGAAAGCTGTATCTGAGTGGCTACTATTAAATCGGAAACTTATGCTGTCGATATCTGTCATCATTCTTCTGAAATTCAAGAAATTAATATTTGTTAAATTGCTCTGTAAATGGATACATTTCACAAAAACACGTCCAGGTAGCATTTCACCCCAAAATCAATTCAAAATAATACATTTTCAATTTGAAAATAGAAGAGGAAGCTTGTTTAGGACATTTTGAGAGGAAAATTAAGCACATTTCCACCCAAGTTCTCGTTACCGTAAAACGTCCAGACATTTTTTTTTTTTTTTGTATTTCAGTTAATCTTATGATTTTCTTTTCTGCAAAAACAGTAAAAATCCTTGTGCAAGGGACTCCCATCCTAAAACTTAAAATCCATTTATATCATTATTTTGTATAAAACATTTATACTGTAAAAAATGTATATTATGAACATGTCAAAATATTGTTCTGAAAATATTAGTTTCAAGTTACATTTATTCTATTCATTATATTACTGTAATGTTAGACATGTTATTTACTTTAATATTTTATGAAAAATAATTTTCATTTATTTACTATTATTATTTTTATCATATACATATATATATATTTATTTATTTATTTATTTTTTACTTTTTCTTTAACATATCCATGGATCCCTTAGCACTCCCTGGGGGTCCCCAGACCCTAGTTTGAAAACCCCTTTGTAGAAAACGCTTGAAAATACAGTAACAGTGAGGAGACTGTCTTACAATTCGAGCCATTCTTTTGATTGTGAACTTAATTAACTGACCTCAGCCTGACATACAATTAAAGTAGTTTACTGAGCCCTAAATAGCACTGGTGCAATCTAGCCACTATTTCCACTTGTAGACCGATCAAGAGAACATAATAGTGCATTCTTCAGTACAATATGCTACTCATCATCAGGCTGACATGCTCTGTCAGCTCAGTGCTGACAGCAGAGCTCTTGAGAGCCAGTCATTATGAAAGCAGCGAGCGTGTGGGCCGCGGCTGCTGTCCTGTACAGTATCGCAGTGAGCGGGATTGTGGGATTCACATTCACAGCAGCACCGAGAGAGAAAAAAAAAACATGGCGGCTGCCGAATGTGCAGCAAACGATTTGCGGAAGTGAGGTAAGTGTAATTCTGTAGCTTCATAAACCCGTTTACATTGAATTATCCGTCACTCAAGTCCAATTCCCCGACTTTATCTCGAAATTAAAGCAGACTCTGCTTCAGGAACCGCTCCGAGTGTAGCGGTTCGAGCGGATTTGATGAGCAAAGTTGTTGCGGCTGATCAGTTGTGTATGTTCACGCTGCCCCCGCTCCTCTGCACTGTTCCACGCTAGCCTGTTAGCTTCCACCTTTAGGCCCTTTTTAATCTTCAAAAGTCATTTACTCACTTAACGTTACTCTGCTGTTTGCGTTTATTTGACATCGGGAAACAGCATTTTATCCGTTCGTTAACAAGTGTTATGAATGAGCGTTAAATAGGGTGCGCCAAATTCGTTAGCATTAGCATGCTAAAGTGAGTCTGTATCATCTTTATTAGCGCTCTTAGCCAAAATGCTAATTAGTGGCCGAGTTGTGGAAAAAAGAAACCTAATTGTTTGGTTCTCGTTGTTGCGTGGTTATGTACACAATGAATATGTTTTGTTATTTGTTGCGCGAAATAAGTGGAATTGCGCATCCTGTGAATGCAGTAGTTAGCAGGTGAGCTAATAAAACCCTGCGGACACATTTGTTTTGTTCAGTTAAACTGTTAGTTGTGTCTTAAAAGCATATTTTTTTAATAAAAGATTTTAGGAGGTGCGTGAAGCAAACGTGTTGCACTAGAGACTAATTCAAAAGTTGAGCTCCGCTCGGAAGTCACCGGAGCTGGAGAAACTTGCACCGGGGTGTTTGGGAGGCAGCCGGGGCTGCACATCATGCCGAGCCGCGCGGATGCGGTGTTGCCGGAGAGGCCCGTTAAATGCAGTTGAAGGAGAAACTGTTTCTTCTCACGCCCGTTCTAGATAAAGACGGTGAGTTAATAATCTGTAGTAGTGCTTGGAGCACTCTTTGTTAGTGTGTGAGGTTTATTAGCGCAAACCCGTTTCTGAGGAAAACATCACATTCTGAGAACAGGCTTTAAATGAGGATTTAGCATTTTTCAAACACGGAGCCAAACTGGGTTCTCTGAAACCACTGCGACGAGCAATTTAGAAAACGTGCTGAGCCGCACAGAGGGCGAGTGCTTCCCTCCGCGAGTCCGCGTTGTCATTTGGGCTGGGCTGGAGTGTTTTGTGATGATAGTTCATTGGCGAGCATGTGTCAATTTAAAGTTCTTCGCCACGCGCGCGAGTTGTACGATCATTCAGGAAGTTTAAAATTCTTAACGCGTGCTGCGCGAGCTGCAGAATGACAACTTCATATTTGACGTCTCTAAAAACAGTCCGAGTGAGTTTGAGGGCAGTTGGCGGTTATCTCGCCATTCTGGGATGAGCTTCTGTTAGCACCATAGACTGTGGTTAGCACCTGCCAGCGGCTGAGGTAGTAGTGTCCAGTGTTGCCAACCAGTGTTGCCAACTAATTTTCAGTGGAAGTTGCTAAAGGAAGGTTGATTTGTTGCTAAATGACATTTTGATGTCATCATGTGATGACGCCATTCCGTAATCATGACGCAAAATTGTGTCACTGCATCAAATCTCAACCCAAAAAAAATGTTTTATTTAGGTTTGTTAATAAAATAATGTAAATGCATAATATAATATTACAATGTAAATAACTGTATTTTTAAATACAACATTGAATTATTGAACAATTTAAGATTTGTTATTAGCTAGTAAACTAGTAAAACTATACATTCTGAACAAGTATAATTTTAAGCAGTGTATTAGTAGTTAGTTAGTATGCTACACTCTTAAGAAGAGTCTGTAAAAACAGGGCACAATCTTACTATGTTAAAGGCAGAGTGAGTGATTTTTCAAAAACAATTTAGAAAACTGATTCGGGCCGAATCGCAAAACAAACTTAGCGCTGGAGAGAACTCAAGGACGCCGAGGTTGCTTTGTTTCTTCTCAATAGGTGAGTAACACCATGTCTACAACAGCTAAAGTCTGCCTACACTGGACACGATCAAACGACCATTGAAAACCATTTGAAATTTGTGTCAGCATGTCATAAATAGAACCCGGCAGCAGTTTTCTGTCGGGTATTTGTTGCGCCGCACCGTTCACGTCCGTAGAATCAACATTGGCTACCAGAAATCACTTACTCTGCCTTTAATATGACGGAATTTTCTGTATTGATTTTATTTTATTTTTTACCTGCATTTTAAATTGCGCATTGTATTTTGTGTTTTTGGGTTACAGGGTTACAACGTATAATGGATAACAGATATGTCCTGGAAAATTACTAGTACCTTTTCCATTTTTCTAGCTATTTTTCTAACAGTGTACAAACTGATCAACAATCACAGGTACAAGCTACTAACAAGGTTTATCATAAATGAACAATGATTCAATGATTATTATTATTAAATTGAACAACTGAAAACAGCAGCTCAATTAATTCATGTGTTGTGTGTACTGCTAAGCATCTTTGGTTTCCTCTTTTTTGTGTAATTTAGCTGGAAAATGTCGTTTTATCGTTTGAGTGTCACATATCAAAAGTTGCTAAAAGTTGCCAAATAAATTTTAAAAACAGCTAAATTTGTTGCTAGGTGCTTTTGGAAGAAAAAGTTGCTAGGGTAGTCTGAAAAGTTGCTAAATTTAGCAACAAAATTGCTAAGTTGGCAACACTGGTAGTGTCTGTTCTTGTTTAGACAAAATTGTGTCGATTATAATATGTCCATTGTCTCTTTGATTAATTGGATGAAAATAGCCAAATACAGTCATTTTTAATAAAACATTTAAATCTATTTCTTCCAAAATTCCACATCCTGTCCAATGTTGTTCTCAAAACGATATGCAATTTGAAGGCATAGTAGGCTGTGTGCTAACATTATGTGCAAAAAGGGAAAACTTGAAACTGAAATATAAAAGTTAAAAGCACTAAATTACAAATAAAGAAAAACAAAAACAGAGACTTTAACTTGTACAAGGTAGGGGGAACGCACATTCACTTATGTTTACATTTATACTCCATTACAGAGTAGACTTGTCACTGCTCTCAAAAAATTAATAGTTACTTGTTAAATGTATTTGTAATGTAATGTCTTTTTATCATTATGCTTAATATTTAACAACAAATAGTTTAGAAAAATGTAAATTGTATATGCTAACAATACAACCGTAAAATGTAAGTGCTGAGGAAAATGTCTCAAATGCATTAAACAACACACATTTGCCAGAGTGCCTGACAGGGCAAGCTACTTTAAACGAAATGCTTTTATTGAAGCGCTTAATATGACACATTCTGACGTTTAGGACAACTTAAGTTGTGCACTTTTCCCGCAACTGGTCACTCTTTGTTCTTTGTTTGTTTTTTTTCCCAGATGCTTTTTGTCCATATAAATGTTATTCGGTGTTATTGGCAGATGATATCTTTGCATAGAGCACACTGATTAATAAACATCCCTAAAAAATGCATATTTGCATTTTGTAAATTGAATTGCAGTGTGTTTCCGAATAAAGTTTATTGTACAGTTCCTCCTGGTTGAGGCATCATACATCAGTATATAATGTCCATACATATAGCTAATGTCCATCTGAAGACTTATAATGATATTAAAGCAATAGTTGCTTCACAAATAAAAATCTTGTCATTATTTAGACTAGAAATTTAAGTTGTCATTCACTAAAGTCGACCTTAGCTTAAATCTTATTTACCTTCATATTCACATTAAAAAATGGTGGATGTATGTGATGTGCTAGCATTAGGGGTTGAACGACTTCTGATTTTTTAAAGTCGACTTTTATGTGATGAAAGTCGAGTCGAAGTCGACTAGTCGCTGATGACGTCGTTAATGAACAAATAGGTCTGGAGCTGTGACAAACACCTTGTGCACAGCTATGGCATATGACACAGCGCTGCCCACATGGCTATTGCTCCTATAACAGCTAATTTTTATCAGTTCTTTTGTCTTTGGGTCGTTATATTTCTCACAGATTTCTGCTCGTTCTAAATCAGATACAGATAAAGTAGCACAGTAAAGATTACATTCATATGAATGCATTAGTGAGAGCGATTGCGTGTGTGAATTAATTCTACCTGGCAGCGTCTCTATACTAGTAGTGAAGTTGTGGGATTTAGTTAAGAAATATATGCTTGAACTTTTCAGTTTCTAAGCTATTTTATTGAGAAATACCAGAACAGTGTTGACAATACATTTCCGCGCTGAATGATTCTGTGTGCGCGTGATGTACAAGCTATGTGTGTGTTACAGTGCAGCAGCGCATTAGATTAGAACAGCAATTAACTTACCTGTACAATAAGATGTTTAAAACGTGCATTCTCCTGTTCAATTTCGAGTATCCAGTTATAATCACACATGTCTTGTGGAGCGCTTTCAGAGTATGCATTTATTTGTCATTTTAACTGTTTGGAAACGGAGCGTAAATGTGGAAGTCCTTCAAAGATTTCTTATCCTGTTGCACCCTCTATAGGACCAGCGACTAGTCGACGTCAAGCTTAAAGCGTCATGGCAGAGCATTGAAGTCGATGAGTCGGTGCAACCCCTAGCTAGCATTGACGTCATTGATGTGCCATAAACGAACAAGATGAGCCATTGTATACTGACTTAAATTTCAGTCCAATTCAGGAAGACTTGAAATATAGGCTAGTGCACAAGTTATATAGACTACTTCGCTGATGCTTTTGTAGTATCCCCTGCAAAAGATGAACAGAACACTGGTTTGGAGTAATATGAGGATAAGTACTGACAATCGCAGCTTCTGTCAAATCGCGATCTCGATTCCATTTCGATTTATCGTGCAGCCCTAGTACATAATGTGTGAATTACTCTTTCTACTTTTAACTGTCCAGCTTTGTCTTGGGTTAATGCCAGGTGGCATGAAACGTCTCCATTGGCTGTCATAAGAACAATAAGAGCCGCTGCACAGATGGGCTGCTGGGGTCTCAGGGATTCCTCTAGTGTGTGTTTAGCGTTAACTAATGCAGGCTGTAAACTGGAGATTCTGGTTCTGTTAAAATTGAACAAGGACTGACATCTCTATTTTTAATTAATTTATTTATTTTTAAGATTTTGAGTTCAAATTTATTAGCTGATTTTATCCCAGAGATTTATACGTATTGTTGTGTTTAACTTAACATCTTGATTTTTTTTTTTCCCCTGGAAGTTTGCTAAGGCCCCTTGCTTGAGAAGCACTGATTTAATAAAGTGGATCCTAGTGAATTTTCTTATTTTTATGCAATTAAATAATTCGAACATGCTGTTACATCACCCACTGTAGTCTGTTATTTAAGGTGTTCTCCTTTATACCAGGACAAGCAACCTAACCTTCACTTACTCATATTTGAGTTCCCAGATAACCTCATTATGCACAGATGACTCATGTCAGAAGGGTTGTAGCGTATGTGATGACATTAGTGGTGACTCTTCCATTAACAAGTGTTTTCCCCTCTCAATTTACGATCATGATGAATATAAATAGTCTTTCAAAAAAATCAGATCAGTAAATTGCAATAAATGAGAGGACAGGGAAAAGAAGACAAAGGTTTCCTTTATATTTGAAGTAGATCTATCAGCCTGTATGTCTTTGTTCCAGTTCAAACCACAGGTCTGGATTTGCTGAATGGAAAAACGGGTCTTTTATAGTCTTTTTAGAAAGATGAAAATATAATCTAGTAGTTAAACTGACATGGGTAGTAATGGAAAATTATGTTTTCTAATTCTAACCATTTTGGTGATTTTAGTATTCAGGCCTGACACCACCCCATCTGTCTGTTTTCCGTCTCGTTTTTTATATGCATGGCCAAATCACATTAGACGCTCACCAGGAGGCTTCAGTGGAGTGTGAATAAGGGATGCGTGTAAGACTGTCCTCAGGTGCTTCTCATTTCTCAAGCAAAACTAATGTCAGTGGTGCGAAATCTTATTCAGAGCCTCTCATCATTCAGATCACACTAATGCTACATGGCAGTGATGGTGCAGACTGAAGAATGTGGTGTAGTCTTTAGTGTCCTTTTTAATGTGAATGATCTAGAGCTATGGTTTCATAAAAACTGTTTTTCCCCCTTCAAGGACAGGCTGTTTGGAAGTGTTCTGGCTGTAATAAAACCTAAAATTATCTCTTTTTTTCTGACTGCATATGTCCTAGATGTATCCTCTTGCACGGCCTTGGCAGAAATTGAGGCAATTGAGAAATTTGATATGGTGTAATCTAATTTGTCACACTTCAAGCTTCTGTTTGACTTTAGTACCACAGTAATTATTGAGTAATGCAGACGACAGTACTAGCCCAGTACTCCCTTCAGTCTCCTGTGAAGCCCCTCCAGATGAAATGTGGTGTGTTTTTGCTGCTGCCTTGCAGATTTTGCGCATTTCACTGTTCTCATAGCAATATATCATATTCTGTAAGCACTGGTCTTTGGACTGACTGCTTCATTTGTCATAACCCGGGTCCAAAATTAGCTTTTTGCAACGCATGCCGATGGCTGGTGAGTTGAGAAAATGTACCATTAAATGTTATTTCGAGTTTTGTATTGTTCTCTTTCTTTATAATAATGGGATGTTTTAAAACATTTAAAGGAATACTTCACCCAAACCCATAAGAGCTTTGTTCATATTTGAAACACAAATTAAGATATTTTTAATGAAACCTGAGAAATGTCTGTCCCTTAAATGAAAGTCCATTTCACAGAAATTTGATGTGTTGAAAAGTCATAGACATTGTGAAAGTAATCCATATGAATTGAGTGGTTTAATCTAAGTCATTATTGCTACATATGAAGGAACCAATTTAATTTAGGTGTTTATTCACATTTGATCAGTGTATTTGATCAGTTTATAAACATTGATCAGTGCACATACATAAAGAACATCAAATATGGTAAACAGAAGCTTAAAGGGTTAGTTCACCCAAAAATGAAAATTAGCTTGTGTTCTACTCACCCTCGAGGCATCATAGGTGTATATGACTTTCTTCTTTCTTCTCAGACGAATCCAATCGGAGTTATATTAAAAATTGTCCTGGCTATTCCAAGCTCTATCATTGCAGTCAGCGGGTATTGCAGTTGAACAGTCCACAAGTCGTCAAACAAAGCGCGCACATCCATAATAAAACGTGCCTCACCCGGCTTCGCGGGGGTGAACAAAGGCCTCCTGTAGCGAATCCATGTGTTTTTGTAAGAAAAATATCCATATTTCAAATATAATAAACACTTTTCTCTCACTTCCGGTATCTGTCATGCGCAGAAGCCGTTCTGTCGGATGACGTAGTACGTCAGCGTTGCGTGATTAGTGACAAATGCGGAGAGAGAACAAAACAAAACGCCGGTCACGAATTAGAAGTACAAACCGAGGATTTTGCAAAGAAAAATGTCGGAGGATTTCGATATAAACCAAGAGGAGACTGGTTTTCCTTTGCTAAAGTAAGGAAACTTTGCTTCCTTTGCTCCTGTAAACAAACTCGCGAGACTAGCATATCTCAGAGGCGCTCGCGCTGCGCATACGTCATACGCCTTCCGCCGGAACGCCTTTCGCGTATGACAGACACCGGAAGTGAGAGAAAAGTGTTTATTACGTTTGAAATATGGATATTTTTCTTACAAAAACGCATGCATTCACTACAGGAGGCCTTTATTCACCCCCCGGAGCCGTGTGAGGCATAAATAAAATAAAAATAAAAAGATTTATTTATTTATTTTTTACTTATAAAAGAATATTTGTGAAAAACATTGCAGGTCATTGCATCTCTCACAGCAGCATGCAAAATAAACTAATCATGTCTATCCATGAAATGGCTTTCACAAAAATGTGAAGACTTCTCGTATATTTTTTTTGGTGGTTTGGAATATTGCCAGGAATATTCTGCGTATGTTTCATTTTATTGAGTTCGAGAAAAGGAAAAAAAAAACATGAACATTTGATTGGAAATTTTCCTCTGAGGAAAACATTTCTGTTTTTCTTAGTTGACCATTTGATTTGAATCAGATGTAACACTAAGGATCCAGGTATACACATAATTTTTTGCATTCTGCTCCATCTTGCACAGTTGAGTGGTCACACCTTTCAAAGTGTACTCTGTTGACCATGAGTGTGTTATATGGCCGTGTTTGGCGCTTGGACCTCTTTTCTAAGTGTTAAAAATCACTCTCACAAGTCTGCATGGACATGCATGTGCTGAAATCACTGGACGGTTCTGATAACAAACATCGGAACATGGATGTATACTTTGACTTGAAGACACACAATATACTTTGTCTTTACATCAGTAACATTTAGATTGTTATAATTCAGTTTACATCATGCAAATTTGCAGTCCCTAGAGTTAGCAGCCAACTTGCATTTTTGGTACTTAATAATTGTTCATTTTGGACTCTGCTCACAGGGTTCTGTGGAGCACTTACTGCTTCATTAGAGACACCCATGATCAGTCTTTCAAGACTGAAGGTTTGTGTTGTATTGGCCATTGTTGAAAAGCACTTTATAGCTCAGATAAGAAGCAGCTTAAATACAGACCATCCCCCGTCACATCTGCAGCTCAATGCACCAGGGAAAGCCTAGTGAGCACATGTGTGATAAGTAGATTGATAGCTTGTGGGAAACTCTCAGATAACCTCTGAATATTCAACGTATTTATAGAATATTAGATAACAGTAGATCATAGCTTGCCTGTAGGTTGTTATTCCTCCAGTGGTGTATGTTTGACTCTGTTTTACCAAACCCAAAGACCGTAAGAGCAAGAGAGAAGACCTTGTGATAAGGATTTTCCTCTGAAATTGTGCACATTAAAGATCTATTGTGAGAATCTTGTTAGTGATGTTTGCTCATGCATCATCACTATTACTATTGCATATACCCCTAAGTAATAAATTAGAGATCATAATTGTGCAGCTTTCTAAGGAGGGTTGTTCTGTGAGGTTTTTCAAGTGAGCAAAAAATCTTTGGCGGGCTCTTCTGTCTTGAACCAGTAAATAATTACATAGCAGCGCCTTGGCATTGTGGTTGCAGCTTTTGCACAGGCAGACATCACTCATGTTTTCTCCATAAATCTAGTTGATATTTTTCGCTAGCATAAAAAGCTATAAATAAAGACGTCCCTCTCCTTTTCCCGTGGAACTTCTACTTAGAAACATTCCAGATATTCCTTGAATGCACTCTCATTCTTGACACGCAAGTTATTATCTTCCTGCTCCATCTCAATTCTCTGTGAAGGAACATCCAGCAAACAGATTAACTCACATCTTTAAACTTCAGCTAAAATGTTTCTTTTACCTCATTTTTCCATATTTGGCTCTTTGGTCCATCATGTGTTTATCTTTTTTGATAAATCATCTTCGTGTGTTTTTTTTAAATATGACACCGAGATGAAGTTATCTAGCTGGCTAAAAAATACAAGCTTTTACCGAAATAGCAAGAATGATTTGTGATTGTCCTAGAAGCTTTGGATAGAATGAGTTGAAAATTATAAACAGATAACTGTATGTTACCGTGTCCAGCAAAAATGTGTTTATGGATTTATAGCTGTCTGATTTATAGCTGTTTTTCTAGCTTTCTTTTCTTATTTTTTATTTCTTTTAACAATAAAAGAAGTTTGTTAAAGTCTCAAAACCCATTTAACTTTGAATCTGAATGATATGTAATTATTCTCTCGTCATGTCCCTCAGGTGCCCACATTCTGCTGCTGAGGAGAGAGCACCACGATGAGGAGACAGTAGGCACCCACCATAGTATGGCCGCATCCCGCTCGTCGCGCGTCACAAGATCATCAGTGGGGATAAATGGATTGGATGAGAACTTTTGTGGTCGAACTCTCAGGAACCGCAGCATCGCCCAGCCGGAAGAGAGCTCTCCGTCTCCTGTGCCCAGAGCCCGCTCGCCCAAGAAGAAGCAGGACTGTCAGCAGCACCAGCAGACCGGAGCACAGGTCGGAAAGGTAGCCGAGAGCAAGGCGGAGGGTGAGCCCTTGCCATCCTACGGAAAGCGAGGCTTGCCGAGCTCCGAGAAAGACGAGTCGGACAAATCAGACAACTGCGAGCGTCCTAGGGCCGGGGGTGGGCCGGAAGCCTCCCCTGCCCTGAAGAGGGCCAAACGTTGCCCTCGCTCAGGTGAATCGCAGGGGGTTGAGGAGGAAGCTTCTCTCAAACCGGAGAGCCCTGATCCCACTGCACTGAAAGAAAATGACGAGGGCGCCAAAACGAACGTGTCCTCGGACCCTCCGCTCAGCCTTGACAAAGAGGCAGAGCAGAAAGAGGACGGCCCGGCGGAGGAGATCGCCCCTCTGCCGCAGGCCCGCGAGAACGTCAAGGCCACCAACGGCCTCACTGAACTCCATAAGGAGAATTCAGAAGTTGCAGCCTTACCCCCGCAGCCCTGTGCCTCCCTTGCCACGCTTAACAACAGTCCTTCACTGTTAAACGGCAGCCAGGCTGCACCCTCATCCCCCGACCCTATCGTGCCTTGTAGATCCCTTCATCCCAAGCAAGCCAATGAGTCCGACAGCCCTCAGATTGACTGTGAGAGAAACTGCACGCCCAAGGAAGCTGCCGAGGCCGTGCTGTCCCGGGAACCCGAGATGGAGGTAGAGGTGGACGTCGTAGGGGACGCTGGCCAGGCTCACGACGAGCTTGCAAGAGAGGAGAGCACCAATGGCGGCTTTCAGGCTGAGCCGCAGGATCCTTCTGACAACTGCTCGAATATCTCAGGAGAAACGGTGGTGCTGACTGCCTCCCAGCAGCCTGCGGAGCCCCCCTCCTTCACAGAGCCTCAAGAACACCGATACACCCTGAGGACTTCACCGCGCCGCGCTGCCTTTGGTAGTGGGCTCAAAGCCAGCTCCCCCAAACCCAGTTCCCCGCACATAGACAATGGTTCGTTGAAGGAGGAGTCCACGCCGGTTCCTCTTCCCTCTGAGGACACCAGCCATAAAGACCTTCCCCACCATGCACTGGGGCTTTCTAGCAAGGCAGACAATGAACTCTCAGAGAAAGCAGGGGTCAGTGGAGAGGTCGGAGTGTTGGATAGTAGAGTGTCGAGATCCACCAAAGAGCTGCTGGCCGCTCAGGCTGAGGAAGATGAGGAGGAAGAGGAAGATCCAGATGTCTACTATTTTGAGTCTGATCACTTGGCTCTCAAACACAACAAAGAGTATGTTCAGGTTTATGCTATCCTGTCTAAAGTCATCAGTTCTGGTAAACCAATATGTGCTTTGTCCTTTAACCCTTTTTTGTTTATTAATGGACCTTTTTGTATTCATTAATTCGAGTTTGCTATGGCGACCACCATTGTAACTATTCCTCATATTGAGGGTTAATAATTTGAACAAACCCCAAACCCAAAGTATGAAACTTTTAAAGGCATTGAACTACATCAGGAGGTGCCCAATTCCTGGAGATCTACATACCTGCAGACTTCAGTCCCAGCACTGCTCCAACACATCTGTCTGTAATTATCAAGTGCTACTGAAGAGATTAACTAGCTGGTTCAGTTGTGTTTGATCAGGGTTGGAGCTGAACTTTGCAGGATGGTAGATCTGCAGGAACAGTATTGGGTACCCCTGAATGGACCACATCCAAAAAACAGAATATCATACATCTTTAGCTGGTGGGACTTTTTTGTACCTAGAATGCCCTAGTAGCAACTGCATTACTTGTTCTTAGCAGGGGCAAGTACCACTAGTACTTTTCAGGTCTTACTATTTCAGTTTCCATTTCAGTTTCAGGAGGTCTCTAGCTTCATAAATCAAATTTCCTATTATTATATTATAGAGGTTTGCTTTAAAAGTAGTCGCAAACCAGTGTTAATTTTGACAGGCATTTTTGATTTAGTCTTAGTCTTTATCTTGAGACGAAAATGCTTAATAGTCTTAGTTACATTTTAGTCATTTGAGTCTTTCATAGTTTTAGTCGACGAAAAGTCATTGCATTTTTGTCAACTTTTAGTCATTATTTTAGTCAAACTGCAGTTACCAACATTTATTTTGGTAGCTATTTTATATGTAGTTTTCAAACAAAAATAGTCATTAATTCTTCTCTCTTTAGACCAAATCAATTAAGCTTATGAGAAATTTGAATCAAGGATTGAATTTGGAAAAACTTGAATAAATGATGACAATTTTCGTTTTTGGGTGAACTATCCCTTTAACAGTAGTGAAAAGGGAGCAACTTGTAAAAATGATAGTTGTTCATATATAATATACTGTAGATAATATATATAATTTATACATTTTGAAAAAGAAGCACAATAAGACAAATACGAAAGAGATACAAATTAAACTCATTTTTCAGATACAGTAGATTTACTTAACATTTGTACATTTATTTAACATCTTTTGTTGGTTAACATTAATGACAAGGATAGGTACTTAATTAGGAATGCTGTCCCTTTAAGACGGAAGGCATGAATGTAATACTGACATACGTTCAGTTTTCACCCACCTGTTTCACTTAATCCGTACCCGACTGTATTTACATGAGATACTCTACACGATAGACATTTGGACTGCTGCGTGTGTATTTGAGCCCTGAGAACTGATCACGCGCTGTATATGAGAACTGAAGAAGTGGAGCGTGCGCAAGAGAGAGCACTTCTATCAGCGCGATTCCGCCTATCCCGCCTTCACTAACTTTAAATTAATCGACAACGAATTGTGACTCCCGGGAAAAACGGGACGTCTGGTAACCACACTCCTTCGGGTGCTGAGGCCCATTGTTTCAGATCGCTAGTTCTCATTTTGGTAGCCTATCCATCCACTGCGGCTGCCATAATGAGACTAGATATGCAAACACCGATTGCAATCCAATGACAGGGACGCACATTTTGAAGGACAAGACAGTAGCCTATAGCAGGGCTGTTTCTAGCCAATTTGACGCCCTAGGCGAAATCCCTATTCCCTATAATATTACATGACACGCTGATCCTTTAACAATGCATTGGCGCAAAAAACGCACACCTTTTGGACAAATCCTATAGGATGTATTTTGAATGTCCGGTAGTCCTCAAATAACATTATAGTCCCATCTCGTCTTGTTAACGAAGACGCGGCATAAATTTCGTCAGTTTTTATCATCAGATACTAGTTTTAGCTCGTCAACGTCTCGTCTTAGTCACAGAAAAAATGTTCGTTAACGAATATTTTTTGTCTTCGTTGACGAAATTAACACCGTCGCAAACTGCATTGCTTTAACTTACGTGGTTGTCAAAACCCAGCAGGTCAGGTTTTGATTTGTCTAGCCTGCTCTTGTTTTTAGTCTTTTGTCTTTTTAGTTTTCAAAGTGTTTGTGCCTTGTAATTTGAATAGGATGGCCCAGATAAACATCTTGGTGTTTTCCTGCTTAACTCTGCATACTTGTTTTCTGAAGCATAATAGTCAACTGTGCTAGCAGAAAATGAGCAACAGCTGCTGTAATCTCCAGGACGGTGGTAGGTTATAAGCGATGGAAGGCCTGCTGCTGGTGGACAGGTTGTCCTGGGTCATGCTCATTCAGCTTGTGCCCATCTCACAGTGTGAGTGCAGGGATCAGGAGCAGCCAACTGGAATGGCTTGTCGGTCAATAGAAATGAAAAGAAATTGCAGTCACGTCAGATTATGAGGCCTATCTGAATTATTTATCTTTTGTTGTTATATTAAATCGTTCTCATTTCTTATCTGGGACAGTTGTTCTCCTGCATTTTAATTTGGATTTATTGTGCGCTTTACGACATGCATTTAAATTATAGGTATATTGATGCAGATTACTTTTTCTTGAAGAAGCAAATGATGAATTCTTGTCTGTGCAAAACTGGTCACCACAATGCCAAGGGGTTTTAGTTGCTAGGGTCTTGCTAGTTCTTTAAAGCATTGCTGGTTGCTTCATAAGATGTTGTTCTTGATGATCATTTAGATGAGTAGTATTCTACAACAAACCTCAGATTTGGGGTTAGAGGTTTGTTGATATCCCTAAACAGAAGTATGAAAATAGTGATAGTGATGATAGCCTTAACAAGGAAGGCACCACACAATAAACATTCTCACATTGGCTACTAACTTGAAAAGATGTATGGGTGTAGTATTTAGTACAGGTTAATTGGCCCAAAGCCCATATCACTATATGTTTGTTTAGTTCTTGTCTGTTATAACAAAGATCTGGGCTGCTTTTCAGATGGTTGACCCATAGGTGGCAGTGCATTGCCAGCCATATGTCAGTTTTGGGCTCATTGCCATCTTTGGCTGCTTTCCCCAGCCTGCAGTGCTACATGCCTATCTTCTTTGTGCATCTAAATCGAGAGGTTGTTAACAGCTCCTCTGTGGTCTAAGTTATTAAATGGCTAGGAAATTGAAGAAAAACTAGTCAGTTGCCCTCAAGTAAGACAAATCAAATGGAGCAAGTCCTCTAAAGGAATTCTTGTTGAGATTGGATGCTTGCTGTCATCAATTGGTTTTCATTCATGCCATGTTTGACTAGATTGATTATACAAGGTCTGTTGAGCTTCTGAACAAGATTACTTCTAATCAGTAGGCCGAATCTCCCGCTTAGAAGAGCATCTTTGTCTAATTTGCCCTTTTTCCCTATCTGCCTCTTTTTTTCGTGTTCCTATTTGTGGATCTTATTTTCCTGAGGGTGTGCAGGGAAAAGGTCAAAGCTCTGTAGTGCTCAGCCAATGACATATCTTCGTAAGTAACGAGATGAATCTAGAAAAGCTTTTTTCAAATGTGAGCTTCTGAATCCCATGTAATATATTAGAGGCATAAAATCTGTTTTTTTAATTCTTTTTTTGTGAGAGTTGAGAATTGAGTTAATGAAATTGTTACGTAACATGAAGCTAAAAGAAAAATAGTGATTTTGGTTACACTTTATTTTAGTGCGCTTGTTATAGTCTAATTCTACAATTAAAGGGATAGTTCACCCAAAAATAAAAATTCTGTCATTAAGTACTCACCCTCATGTCGTTCCAAACCCGTAAGACCTTCGTTCATCTTCGGAACACAAATTAAGATATTTTTGATGGAATCTGAGAGCTCTCTGACCCTCCATAGACAGCAATGATGTTACCACGATCAACGCACAGAAACGTAGCAAGGACATCGTTAAAACAGTCCATGTGACATCAGGGGTTCAACTGTAATTTTACGAAGCTACAAGAATACTTTTTGTGCGCAAAGAAAACAATAATAGCATAATTTATTATGCTCGATGTCATTGCTACGTTTCTGTTCGTTGATCGTGGTAACATCATTGCTGTCTGTGGAGGGTCAGAGAGCTCTCCGATTCCATCAAAAATATTTTTATTTGTGTTCCGAAGATGAACGAAGGTATTACGCCCCATTCACACGGGGCTTTGGCGTCAACGCCTCTTGTTTACTTAGACTGGAGTGACGTCAAGCGTTGCCGAAATTAATTTTGGGTCCGTCGCATCGCGTTGGGTCCGTTGCTCGAGGCAGAAGTTGAAAACAAGCAGGAAAAACCCAGTTCCTGCATGAAGCTGTCAGTCAACACCCGCCCACCCTTTGGCCAACAGAAAATATTTCTGTTTATAGAATATATTTCTATGGGAACGTTTACAGGGACTTTCTTTAGTAAAGTGTGTGGTTGTGCTGCACTAAATTTAAATAATGAATAACTGCTGAAAGTTTGATGGTTAAATGCATAGCATCAGCTGTTATTAATGTACAAAGCATCTCTGCCCTTCCCTCTCCTCTTGTCCTCTACATTAGTTATCAGAGGTTGCTCCAGACCATCAGTGTACTGGAGGCCCAGCGAACCCAAGCCATCCTGGACCTGGAGACACTGGCACGACATCAGAAGGAAGCCCTGTCTGACCCCATCGCCTTTGTGGACCAGCTACAGAAACGGGTACAGAAGCTTTCTCTGGGACTTCCATTGGTATTGTCTGAAATACCTGTTACTTAGTCCTGCATTCTGGCTTATAAGCATGTTTTTGATCATCTGCTTTCATCACAGGTAGAGATGGGTCTGCCTCAGCCCCAGAGAGTAGTCCAGCTCCCGGACATTGCATGGGACCAATACACCTCAGGCCGTGGCGACTTTGAAAGGGAGTTCTGTGACAAGAAGCGCAAAACCCGACAGTTGCAGTTAATATTTGACAAAGGTGTGTACCTTTTTATGTGTGTGTATTTTTGCATATTGCCCTCAGGTCCAATTGACTAGGATATGGACCCAAAAATACCTTAAAGGGGTCATATGATGCTATTTCAATTTTTCCTTTCTCTTTGGAGTGTTACAAGCTCTTGGTGCATAAAGAAGATCTGTAAAGTTGCAAAGACTAAAGTCTCAAATCCAAAGAGATATTCTTTATAAAAGTTAAGAATCAACCACGCCTACCTAAAACGGTTCATTCTAACACGCCCCCACATAAGTTCCTCACTCAAGCCGGCCTCCACTCACTCAAGCCCGCCGTACAATAATGTACAGTATGTGGAAAATAATGTGTTTTTTGAAACTTAAACCGCATAAACACATTTCATTACACCAAATACACAAAATAATGTTCTTTTTAGCAACATCATATGACCCCTTTAAAAATGCAATTTGCAATTGATCTGAAATCTCAAAATGGCTTTGTGCATTTTCAAATAAAAAAAAGGCTGCGATTGGAAAAACAAAAGTTTGATGGTTTAATGTTTGAAGATGAAAAAAAATTGTATTGTAATTATTAAAATAAAATGTAATTTATTTTATACAATAAATGTAATATTTTTTTATTTTGCAGGGAAATATTATAATATCTATTTCTTTTCATTTTTTTAGTAAATATAATCATCATAAAATAATTGTTGTAGTTAATAAATAATAATTTATAGTCATATTGACAATCACAAATGTTTGGCTAAATTGTGCAGCCCTACAAATAAGTAAAAAAAGAAAGAAAGAAAGAATAGGGCATGAAGTCAAAAATGTCAGGGTGATGCAAAAATATTTTAACAAAACTGTTTTAATTTTTATAATTGCATTAATATTAGAAAAAAAATGTTTCCCTTAAATAAAAGTTCTGTGTTGTGATCAAGTGTGAACATGCAGAAGAATGTAAAATAGGAAGTTATATCTTGCTGACCCTTATGATTGTGTCAAGGTCAATAAATAATCAGATAATTTGATGTTTAAGTTGTAGATCATGTGGTGCAAGTTAGAATATTTATGAATTAATTTTTAATTAGATTTTGTTTTATTTAACCATATGATATCGACATGAATACAAGAATACATTGCTCCACTGCTCAGAGTAAGTTTTTTAATGTTTTTAAAAGAAGTTTCTTGCATTCACCAAGGCTGCTTTTATTTGATTAAAAAAATATATGGTGGTAAAAAAAAAAAACAGAACATGAATATAAAGAGTACATTTCTAAGAACTTGGCAATAGATATTTAAAAGATTTGTCCTTTTCTTTATCATATACACTCCTTCAGAATTAATTTAATACCATAAATTAATGCTTATTATTTATTATTTTAATTACTTTAAAGATTTAGTGGACCCTTTTGGGTATGTCTATTCAATGGCAAATGCATGGACAGGGAGTATGCCCAAATTAAACTGCTTATTGTCTTTCTGTAGTGGGGTTGCCTGCTCGACCAAAAAGTCCTGTGGATTCCAAGAAGGAGGGTGACTCCTCATCTGTTTACTCCTCCTCCCTGCCGTCAAGTGACGGTCCAGAACACAGCATGTCCAGTAGCAGAACTCAGGTAAACTCAGATTAAGTCTTTGTACTTCTCGTCATTTGTATTCTGTCACGATTTACAGCCGTCTTGACTATGAACCTGCATGTTGTGTTTTAAGGAAAACATGGGGTTACAGATTCTCCTTTATGCTTTGCTCATTTTTTCCCCATGACCTACAATTTCACCACGTTTCATCACACACCACTGCATCCAATACATAATAAGATCAAGACCTAACATTTAACTTGACGTTGTTTCTTGTTATATATATGCTTGAGCCCTAGGACATGAACTCGAATGTGCTCTGCATGCACAACATCTTCCCTGAGAGCACAAGATCTCCATCCATATTCATTCTGCTGTAACATTTCAACAAAAATGCACTGCAAGCATGCTGATCACAAATAACAGTGTGTCTCCTGGCCCGTTTTATGGAAGTGCCGAGTTCAAACAAACTAGCTTTCTTCCTGCAGTTTCACACCAGTCAGTTCAGCCCTTCTCTCTTGTTCAGTATGTTCATGCATGCAGCACATGTAGCGAAAAGATGGTATCTATGGAAACCAGTGGGAGAAACCTTGTCGTCCTTTTGATATAGAGTGTGTTAAATCGATGAATAAAGAAATAAAGCATTTACATTGGTCTCTCGGTAGATCAGGAAATCTGAGCAGATCCACTATCTCATAATTAATGGTAAAAAGTAAGGTTAGTTCATTATTGCCCACCCACATTTTCAGATGTGTTGGTTCCAGAAGTGTTTGTTAAAGCGTTATAAGTCATGAATCAAACTAACTAGGTAAGAGGTGAATTAAAACATTACAAACATTTATTTGAAGCAAAAAAAAAAAGTACTTGAAAATCGGACAAAAAAACAAAGGTACAAGACTGTGTACTTAAAATATAAAACTGAAATATATAATTAAATGAATAGTTTTACATACATACATTTTAAGTGTATTGCAAAGTGTGCATATATACAAGTATATACATACATAAATACATATATATGTAGTGAAATAGTGAAATGCCTAAAACCAGATTGACCAGTTACATCTTCTGAATGTTCTTTTTTAACCTAAAAGTTTAAGTTAATGTCCATGTATAGCTTTGAACTGTGTGCTACTGCTAACGTTTTCTGGTTTATGGTGTTTGGACAGATGATTAGAGGGAGGCTGTGCAACCAGAACAAACCTGACACCTTCAACCAGCTGTGGACTGTTGAAGAGCAGGTATGAAGCTACCCAAGAGCTCTTAGTAGTCATGAAATCAGAGCCTTTTATGAACAAACATCTGAGAAAACTTTAACGTCGAACAGTTGTACCACTCTTAAAAAGCTACTAATCCATTCAAATTATTGGACAGAAGCTAACTGTTGATATAAGCTAATTTATGATAGAATGTGCGTTTTAGTATTTTGTGTAGCTCTTGAGCTGTAAGGTTTGACTGTTTGCTCATCACATCTCGTATGTGAAATTTGTAGAAAAAGTTGGAGCAGCTGCTTTTGAAGTTTCCACCAGAGGAGATCGAGTCTAAACGCTGGCAGAAGATCGCAGATGAACTTGGCAACAGGACCGCCAAGCAGGTGCGTTTTCAGGCCCTGCTCTACACAGTCACCCTCATCTTCTTTTGGCCTTGATGGACATTAAAATCTCTAGTCACCTTTTCAGAGCTCTCTAAAGCAGTCAGCCAATTAACATCCTTACAGCCCCATTTAATGGAGACTCTCTATTATTTAAAGATGTTTTTCACTAATGGGACAGGAGTCTTAACCTCTAAAAGCTGTGGTAGGAAAGCTTAACCACTGGATACAGGGCCAGCTCTTTTTGTATACTAAGTTTTTGTTCCTCTTCTTCACAGGTTGCTAGCAGGGTACAGAAATATTTCATAAAACTGACAAAAGCTGGTATTCCAGTACCAGGCAGAACACCCAATGTGTGCATGTACAGCAAAAAGGTAAATTGGTCTTTTAAAATGTAAAATATTAAAAAATATATTTTAACTGCACACTACTGTTGAAAAGTGTAGGGTTGGTAAGATTTTTTAAATATTTTGAAGTCAGTCTCTTATGCTCACCAAGTATTCTTTGATCAGAAATACAGTACAAATAGTAATATTGTGAAATATTATTACATTTAAAACATCTGTTTTAATATATTTTAAAATGTAATTTGCTCCTGTGATGGCAAAGCTGAATTTTCAGCGTCATTATTCCAGTCCTCAGTGTCACGTGATCCTTCAGAAATCATTCTTAATAAGCTGATTTGCTGCTCAAGTAACATTTCTTGTTATTGTCACAGTTTGTAACAGTTGTGCAATATTTTTGTGGAAACCAGTTTAATTCAGGATCTGTAGAAAGTTTAAAAGAACAGCATTTATTTTAATTTCTTTTTTTCTTACAATGTAAATGTCTTTACTGTCACATTTATTTGAATATATATATATATATATATATATATATAAATAAATACAAAAAAAAGTTGCCGAAAGCTCTGTCATTACTCCGTCATTCTGTTTTTACTTTCACTTTCTGCATAGTGAATTGACTGAGATTAAGACGTTCACTGGCATAACTCTTGTGCAAAGTTTGCACATTGCTTATGTGATAACCAATGGCTCGCCTTCATGGTTTAAAACAGAAATAAATAAATAAATATATATATATATATATATATATATATACAGTATACTGTATATTTAGGGCTGTCAGTTTAACGAGTTAACTTAATTGGTTATGAAAAAATAATGCGATTAAAATATTTTAATGCAGTTAACGCACTGGCCCTGCCCCCAGACCTGGACGTCATCTTACATTTCATACAGTTGACTGTTGACAAATATGATGCAGGGCAACAACTCCATAAATGTAGTTATGCCCTAAAATTCAAGATATTGGGGCAAAATGCTCCTGTTTGAGTTTCTGTCTCATATTTATATCACATAAGCGATATCCCTCGAGCAACGAGAGCAAAATCACACAAGTGCTGTTTTTGTCCAGAATATAAGGAGTGCAAATGTGATTTTATACAACAGTTTAGTAAATAAGAAGTTTATATTGTTTTATAATTTAAACACAATATTGTCTGTTTTTGCTCCGTTTTGCCAACAAAAAATATTAGCTATAAAGTATGAAGGTAGAATGACGTCAAAAAGATTTGCATATGCAGGGTAAGAGTTGTGGCAGTGTACATAAGACTGTAAGCGTAAATTAAATTTGCATGCGCAAGAGAAGCTTTGTAAACGTGTAAATCGTGTTTCAAGGGCAAGAAAAAAATATTTGCAGCATTTTACTGTTACTCGTAAGTGTAATTCATGTATTGTGAAACTGCAGCTTCATGCTAACGCAAAATAAA